TGTTGATAAGTTCTTTATTGTTATGGATAAAAAATACATCAACATTCCTATTATTTGTTATTGCAGTAGTATCTTCTTTTATGTTGTGTAACATTTTTTACAGCTGTATGAAGCCGAATCTATGGGAATTATTCTTTGAAATCTTTGAGTAGCATCGTATCCAAGATTCATTGTAGGCCAAAAGTTGATTTATTTGAAAAATGTTGAGAACAAATTCTGGATTTTGCATACTTGCGAAGAGCAGGGCGTATTTAGTAACAATCGGAAATGTACTTGCAATATGTCGTTCAGGTTTTTTTAGAAGAACGCAGTAATCAGATAAAAGCAAATATAACTGAAAACTGATTTTTTACTGAAAACATTTTAATTTTTTCTTTACTTATAAGAAGTTTTTATATTTTTCGTCTTCTTTTTTCTTTGGAAAAGGATCAGATTGTTCATACATACGCCATATTCTTGACAAGTACTTTTGTTTCATTTTAATTACTTATATTGACCATTAGTAAGAATTTTCACTGCATAATGAGTAGACATTTTTAACTGGAGGCTGAATATGTGTTAACTTCATAAGTACGAAGTGGCATAAGTGCGAAGCGCACAGTAGGCCAAAATTCATTTTTACTTGACAATTCTAATTACTCATCATATAAAAAAGATTTAAGAACCATTTTTGTACTGTTTTCTAATTTGAGGATTGCGGTTAATGGCGACATTAGTTTTAATTTTGGGTTGCTATGAATACCTAAATTACTTTGCAACCACATATTTTATTAACCTTAGCAAATATAAATGGAAAAAAAAAACCGGAAAAAGTGGTAACTTTATTGCATCACTCCCATAAATAAAACATTGATTATTTTTATACTACAAATATAGTGGTAACTATGGATTAGTGGTTACTATGGATTTTTTATTTGGTTGATAGTGACGCATGAAATGCTTGACAACAGTTCAATTTTGCATAGTTACTAGCATTAGCAACTATTTTTTAAATAGCATCATTGTTAAAAACTGGACTAATAATGTCTGATTAAAAATTATTTTATGCATTTAAAAATTTTAACACATTCCTAATTACTAATTTTGAGTATTTTTATGCATAAATCTTTTTGTGTAAATAATAATATAAAAATTTTGATTTAAAGTTATTTTTCGAACCAAAACTCATATAGTCTGATAATTTTAACACGGTTTTAGCTTCTTTTTCTTGACCTTGGTGCAAGCGCGATGGAAACAATAGTTATTAAGATAAATACTATGCAACTATTGGCGTCAATCTTCTTTTCTTTTTTTACTAGAAATTCACCTGGAGCCTGCCAAATACTACAGTTGGAGAAGAACAGTATTTTCTTTATCAGTGGAAGCAGTTAGTAGAATTTTCTTATTATTAATAACAAGTTGAACTTATATTGGTTCATTTTGTAGTCATTGTTTGTTATTCTCTTTAAAATGAATTTTAGGGTTTATGCATATACATCTTTTTTAAAGATGCTTTATAAAAGTAGACAGGTTATTATTTGCCAAGTTAAGTCTATTTCATTTACAACTAATTACTTTCATTAAACATAATAAAAGGTCATTTACAACTGTAAACATAATTAAGAAAATAAGAATTTCATTTACAAAATCTTATAAAAGGTAGTTAAAGATGTATATATACTAAAAAAAGTATGTAACACTAATCTAGTCGTGCTGAGATCCAGTTATTACATAACTATTTAGAATAAAATACAAATAATGTTTTCGCAACATAAATTTGGATGCATCATTTAATTTGACTATATAAGTGAAATTTTAACTAAAAAAAGTACTTCAAATACGGCCTCATTTGAAATCATTTTATTTATCATAACTTACGTACTAAATCGTGTAATAGCTTATTTAAAAGATAATACTTGATTTTATTAAATTAAGTATTAAAAAAAAAGATTTTAAAATTAACATCTATTCCATGCTTATTAGTAACACAAAAAATATTTTTGAATTAAAAAAAAAATTTAGAAATATTTTAAAAAAAAAAAAAAAGCTTTTAGATCTACATCTTAGAATCATGCGTCATGATAATATTACAAAAATATATACATTTTATAAAAGCTAAATGTTTAAGCTACAAAATGGAATATAATAATGTTATTTTTGAAAATGTATTTTTTTACTTTTCTCGACAACCTGGACCACTGTGAAGCGTTGCAAAAACTGACATTAATGCGAACTGGCATATGTGCGAATCGGCATAAGTTCGCCAAAAGATTTTGAACACATTGACATATGTGCGAACTGGCATAAGTGTTTATTTGGGAAGCAGTTACAAAAAATAGAATAAAGACGAATAGGCATAAGTGCGAACTGGCATAAGTGCGCCAAAAGAATTTGCAAACATTAGTGTAAGTGCGAATTTACATAAGTGCGAAGCAGTTATAAAAATTGGCATAAGTGCAAACTGGCAAATGTGAGAATTTTCATAAGTGTCCCAAATAAAATTGCAAATATTAACATAAGTGCAAATTAGCATTTTGCATTTTTGCCAGTTTGCACTTATGCCAATATTAACAAAATATTTTGGTTATAGGTGTTTCTGCTTTATCCCATTCAATGTCCTGATTGTAATTTACTTTATGCAAAGCTAATGCAGACTTATTTAACTTGCCTTCAGTCAAAAATTTTTGGTGTTGTTGAATTCTTGTTCGTATTTAAAGTTTTGATTCACCGACATACACTTTGGAGATTTGCACTTAATTAAATAGGTTCCTGGTTGGCTGATGCGTGGTAATTTTGATTTATTTTTAATAGCGTTTTTAGGTTAGCATTTGATTTAAAAACAGTTCTGTGAGCAGCTTTTCTGATTATTCTTCTAAACCTGGGAGATATTATGGTAAAGAGATTGAGAAAAGTTATTAGAGGACATTGAATGGGATAAAGTAGAAACACTTAAAGTTGAGGCTAAAAAGTTTGGAAGAAAAGTCCGTGAAGCCTTGGATATAAAACAATAGATAAGCCTTGGACAAAAACATCTATGTTCTCCAATGTACGTTGGTAGGAATTTGGGCAATGGACAATATGTTAAAACAAATTTTTGGACTTCATCTTTTTCATATTTAAATAAAAGAAACCATTATAAAGTTGACGTCAAAAATTAAAATTTTTCGTTGTTATTAAACAGTCACAATTTTCGTAATTATGTTTATTTAATTGTTTTAATGACATTTCTTGTAGTACTTGATAATTTATTTATTTAATTTATAACACATCCCAGTAAGAAAAAGACGTCGAGCCGTTGTTGTAATTTGGTTGTATTTTGGTCGCGACGCAAGTTAACTAAATTCCAACGATGTTCCAACGTCGGCATAACGGTGTTACTCTAACGTTTGCTATCAAACGTCGGAACAACGTCGGATAAACGTTATCATCTAACGTCTTGAATGTTAACATTAAAACGACGTTGGAACAACGTTGGTTGTTTAACGTAAAACCAACGTTAGACAGATTAACGTAAGATCGACTTTGGAACAACGTTGCTTTTTTTTACGTCAGCATTCTAACCTAAACACAACTTAATTTTACAAAACAAAAAAAAGCATTTTTTAAATGGTTGAAAAACCATTATCGAAAAAAATGTTACTTTTAATCTGGTTTTTAGGCATTATAATCTGGTTTTTAGGCATTATAATAATAATTATTACATTATTTCTTTATATTCTACAGTCGAATTAGATATCAAATTTCTATTATATTAATCATTATAACATCAAAAACATTTTTTGAAAATCAAATAAAGTTTTAGTAACTTTTATTTATCATTAATTATTAAATAGTTAATAATAAATAAGTTACTAAAACTTTATTCGATTTTCAAAAAATATTGATTTTTTTGTTATGTTTTTGTATACTTTGTATATTTAACATTACTTATATAGTAAAATTTTCAAACATATATAATATTTGCACAATATTTTATTTACAAATAAATAATGCAATGATAGGTTTTTTAAATACCCGTTATTAAACTATTTAATAGTTTAATAAAATGTCAATAAAAATACAGAGCCTATTTTTATGACATTTATTTCAGTTGTCTTAATACATAATATATTTTTATTTATTTGAATGGAAAGTTTTTTAGTTTCTTGTGAACTAGTTCTAGACTAGAAATTACCTAATAAGCTTCCTTATAACTTGTGTAATGTGTTTCTTTTACGAATTTGTATAGTAGTATAATTCCTAAAATTTACTGATAAAAACTATGACATGCTATTCCAACAATATTATAACTAACACTGACTTTCACAAATTTGAGTTTCAAGTCACAAAAAAAAGTAAAATTTTTTTTATGTGTTTGTATTAAGTTGTTTTTATTTATTTATTTTTTAAAATTATTCACCTCCGGGTTACTACCAGGGGCATAGTAGGGATAGAACCAAGACCTTTTTATGAAGCAAACGAAAAATTTATCCAACATAAACAGCAGCAGAACATCTTAAATTTGCACAAGAACTTAGTCATAATAAACAAGATATTTATTTAAATCAATACACACACAGTATTACATTATACACACTCAGTCAGTATTTAATTTTTGAAATGAATCACAATCTCATGTTTCCCTAATATCACAGTTGAAACAAAGAGCCTATTTTGGTTTCATTAATTAAAAATAACTTTTAACATTTTTTTAATGTTTTCTTTTACACCTTCTCTAGACCATAAAGGCTACCTCCCCAAGGCTATTTAAAAACATCACCTCCTCAATGCCATAAAGGGTGCTGCAGTTGAGGAGGCTCCTTTTTTTCAATTGTATAACTCCCTCTCAACTGTATAACTCTGAAATATTTCAATAAAATACATGCCAAATACATTTGTGGGTAGTTTTTGTATATGATATGTGATTTGATATAGTTTTTATAATTCATATGTTATACCAAAAGATATATATATATATATATATATATATATATATATATATATATATATATATATATATATATATATACATACTATTTTTTTTTTTTTTTTTTCAAATTTTATATGCAGAATTCCAGTGTTAAGTAATCAAAGTGTTTGAAATCAAAATAAGTCGACTCAAATATACTTTATTAATATCACATTGTTTAATCTTGGACTCAACTGTTAAACAGTAGAAGATTTGAACGAGTTTACACTAAGAATGGATAATAAAACTTTTGCACAACAGTTTGTGAGTTTGATTTCAATATGTTTAACATGATTTAAAGAACAATATATTTTATTCTGGACAAAATATTCCTGGACAATATATTTTATTCTCCAGCTTTTGAAACAGCAAAAAATTTACAATCACTTTATTAAAATAAGTCTAAATGATATACTGTTACAAATTATGTCATCCTATTTATTCAGCCTATAAATATTTTTAAACATTTTAGATTGGTTGCAGCGTAACAAAATTATTATTTAATAATTCTAATGTTTGAAAATTTTATTTCTGTTACAAAATTTAGTGAATAAAAATGTTTTTATAATTATGATTTTGCCATGATTGCTCTGATTGAATCATGGCAAAACACTCATTCAATTTTAACTATTTATTGAATAAGTTTGGGTTTTTAAGGCTTGACCTTAGTAAATGCAGTAAAAAAAATATATTTTAATAAGATCTTATGTGTAAAACACTTTAATGTGTCTTTTTTATATTTTTTTCTTTTTTAGGCCAACTCTAATGTGTTGGCGGAAAGTTACAAAAATATATTAAAGACTTAATTCAAAGGTAATTTTTGTATTTCTTAATTTATATTTTTATTTGTTTTATGTATATTCATAACATTACTGGCATTATGAATAACTGGAAAGAATTTGTTAATTATTATTTTATTATCACTTTAAATGAGTATACATAATGCATGTGAATATTTATATAACACATTAATAATCTAATACAAACGGCTATAAAGATGATATTAATAGAACATTTTGAAGTATTTTTATTATAAAAGTTTATTTCTTAAAATGCTAATTTGATTTATGAAAATTGTCAAATTTTTTATAAAATTTTTGTATTTTTAATACTATAAAGTATCCATGTCAAAAGTATTAAAAATATTATAAATATTGTAAATCATATATATATATATATATATATATATATATATATATATAATATATATATATATATATATATATATATATATATATATATATATATATATATATATATATATATATATATATATATATATATATATATATATATATATATTATATATATATATATGTTATATATATATATAAATAAATATGTATATATATATATATATATATATATATATATATATATATATATATATATATATATATATTTATATATGCATGTATATATATTGCTCGAAGTGAGCCGGGATGCCATACCGTCACCACTTTATGAAGTATAACAATATATAAACAATACCGCCACCTTTTTATAAATCTCTATATATAACATGATTTGGCAGGATAGTATTTTTAATTTACCAAATATCATCTCGTTACCTTTTTTCTCCACTTTGAGCACTGTGTATATATATATATATATATATATATATATATATATATATATATATATATATATATATATATATATATATATATATATATATATATATATATATATATATATATATATATATATATATATATATATATGTATATGTGTATATATATATATATGTATATATATATATATATATATATATATATATATTTATATATATATATATTTATATATATATATATATATATATATATATATATATATATATATATATTTATATATATATATACATATATATATATTTATATATATATATATATATATATATATATATATATATATATATATGCATATATGATGATATCAAGATCAACTATAATTTGAAAGGCTATTTCTTAGATAACCAGTTTATTAGATAATGATAACTATTGAAGTTTAATTGGTAGATTTTTCTTTAAGCCTATTTCAATAGTTTTTACATTTTTGAAAGTGATTCTATGTTATATTTGACTAAACTCTCTTTAAAAAGTGCTGATTTTAGTAAACCTTCTGATGTTTGTCCTGATTTTAATGCTTGACCTTGTTTAGTGGCCAGTTAAACATTTAGTTGCACATTTTAATTTTTTTCATTTTTACAAATGGCAAACTGTATTTATAAGCAAAAATCATTTTTTGTCCAATAAAATCCCGCAAGTGAGACATCTAGTTTATATAATATATCATCTAGTTTATATAATATATCATCTAGTTTATATAATATAGTTTGTTTTGGGGCTATCCGTCAATTATTGGTGTTTTGGAAAAACGGAGCCAAAAGGTATGTGATTTGTCATATGTTTAAATTAATCATACTTCTGTAAAGTCTCATGACTTATCTGGTAAAAAACCATCTGATTTTGTCAAAAAGTCTAGATCACTAAAAAAAAAGGCTATACAGTTAATTTCTTTTGTATACTGGTCCCTATGCATTGAAGGTAAAAAGTAAATTAACAGAATCATAGCGTTGGTTATGCATTGATGCTATCAAATTGGTTTGGATCACTGGATTAATAAGGCTGTGGATTATTATTGTCAAACATTCACAACATACAATTTACATAACCTTATTAATTTGTTATAATTGTTTGAATGATCGCTTCTTGATATGTCTGCCTTTTCGTTCAAAAAAATATTAGTTTTTGGTAAGAAGATGCCACTTGCTCAAATGGTCAATCGTTTAAGTGAAATTTAAGTAGTTTGGTTTGGAAAAAAATTACCTAACAAAGTAATCACTAGTCTTAAAGAGAGCTATTTAAAAAAACGAATTTTGATTCTTTGCTAAGTAAAAGTGTACCATTTCAGTTTCTTTATATACTATACAACACATGTTGTAAGAAAATATATTGTCTTTGCCAAAATAACCCTTGTAAAAAAATAAATTTCCATAAATCAAAACTTAAAAATATATCTTTTAAGGGTCTGAACACAAAGACATATCTTTTGAGTGGTAAAACTAGAAAAAAAATTTTCCATTGTATCATGATTGTGTGTATTAATTCTGTTTATTCATCGAATTAAAAATAATTTGAGGGGCAGTTTCATTAATTTTGAAGTTTATTGAGGTATTGTTTTTTCTATTTCAGATAATGTTGCTAATCGATTTACAGTGAATATTCTTTCAAAAGCAGAAAAACTCAGGTGAGCACCAATTAGAAAGTTAGCACAATTTCTGATTTTTCTATTTGTTCATTTCGAATGTTTTTTATTTATTTCTTAAAAATGCTTTTAACTGGATTTGTTTGTAACTTTATGTTTCTTCATATATTTTTGTCATTTAGTGTCAAACAAAGCATACACAAATTATTCGAGATATGGTCGAAATTTGCAAAGAAAGTAAAACTCAATCTAGTTTTATTCTAAGTTATTGTATATAATTTTCAAATTTGGAATAGAAGTATTGCAATATTTATTTATTTTTAGTCTCTTAATTTCTGTATTCAATTTTTTGCCCTAATTTAATAAATGTGTATGACCTTAATAAATAAGAAAAATAAGAAAAAAATATAACTTCACAGCGCAAAGTTATACATTGTATAATTGTGTTTTTGTGTTTTTTGAAGCGTAGAAATAACATCAAAAATGAAAAAAAAACGTTGGAGGGCGTTTTTCTTGCAATATCTTTAATATAACGTTGACCTATGTTTCATATATGCTATTTTTCCAACGTCTAAACAACGATAGTAAAGACATTGGCTCAACGTCATTTTGGCTAAAATAAAACGTTTGCCTAACGTCCTTATTACGTCTTTTTTCTTAAAATTTAACGTTGCTCTAACGTCTTTCCGACGTCATTTAGCTAAAATGTAACGTTGTCACAACGTCATTTTACATCGTTGTCATAACGTTAGCAAAATGACGTCTTTTCGGTGTTTCATTTATAACATCATGCCAACGTCTTTCCAACGATACGAAAGACGTTAGAACAACGTTGTACCAACGTCATTTTTCTTATTGGGATACAATACAGCTAAGTACTAATATTTTAATTTATTTATGTAATATTTCAGTCTGAATAGTTCAGACCGTCATCAGACGTAAAATTAAATACAATAAAAATCTCACAAAAAAAAACGTATGTAAAAAACCGTTATAGAAGACATTACAAAGATGAGCAAAGAAGAAAAATATGAAAATCTTTATCAAAAAACCCATAAAAAACTAAATTGCATTAGAAAAAATAAAAAAATAATTAAACCAGGAGTTTTAAATCTTACTTAAACACCGTTAGACTCTTCTACAGTCAAACTGTTAGACTTGGGGCCAAATTTTGCACCTTCATATAAAAAAGTACCTTTTATGGAACTGCTAACCCCGATTGAGTCGTTTGCTTTGCATTAGGAAAAACAAAACAAAAATGCTGACGCAGAGAATATACGACAAAATATTAGTAAAATCTTGACAAGTTCTCTAAAAAGGAAATTACCAGACAATCTCACAAGGCAACAAAGGTTCGCCTTAAATAATCTAAAAAAGAATAAAGACGCTCTAAGATTTTACCCGTTTGATAAAGGTTCAGGATTTGTAGTAATTAACGAATCAGATGCTTTTAAGAAATTAGATGATGAAATTAAAAAGTCCGTAATTATCAATTATGACCCTACACAAACCATCACTGCAAAGTTTCAAAAGTTTTTACGTAAGTTGAGGAAAGAAAACAAATTTGATAAAAAAACTTATTTTCAACTATACCCTTCTGATTGCATTCCTCCACGACTATATGGCGTCATAAAAGCTCATAAATCAGATAAAAACTATCCAATGAGACCAGTGGTTTCCACTATCGGTACTCCGCCTTATGGTTCTTCAGAACATCTGGTTAAAATAATACAACCAAATTTAAATAAAAATAAAACAAGGTTACTAAACTCGTCTTCATTTGTCAACGAAGCAAAATCCTGGGTAATTTCTCCTAATGAAATTCAAGTCTCGTTTGATGTGATAGCATTGTACCCCTCGATTCTAATTGACAGAGCAATACCTGTAATTATTGATATACTCAACAATGATAAAGAAGATCTTGCGATTAGAACTAAATTAACTCTTACTGATATTCACCAACTAATTGAACTCTGTCTAAGTCAATGCTACTTTTTATATAAAAACGTGATTAGAACTATACCGAATTCTGGCCCTATTGGACTATCACTTATGGTCGTTGTTGCAGAGGCATTTTTGCAACATTTAGAAACAAAAACTTTGAGAGTTGCAGAAATAAATTTATTTTCACCAAAGTCATTCAAACGCTATGTAGACGACAGCCATGCGAGATTTGATTCATTAGAAAAACACGACAAATTTTTGGAATTGTTAAATCAACAAGATCCTGCAATTCAATACACATCGGAAATAGAAAACGAAAGGAAAGAACTAAACTTTTTAGATATAACAATTATAAATACAAACAATTTCCATTATGATTTCAAAATCCATCGAAAACCCGCAATTACGAATATACAAATAAAACCGAATTCTAACATTAATCCTGCAATAACATCTGGAGTCTTCAAAGGTTTTATATCAAGAGTCTCAAAAATTTGTTCTTCAAAATACCTTCAAGATGAAATACAACTTATAATAAATATGTTTGTCGAAAATGGCCATAAAAAATCTGAGTTAGAGCTTATAACAAAAAATTATCTCAAAATCAAAAATAATCCTGTTGGTTTAGCTGCAGATCAAACAAAAAATAGTAACATAACAATAAAACTCCCATGGATTCCAAGAATAGGATCAAAATTAAGGAAAGAGCTCAAGAGATATGGCGCTAAAGTTATATTTACAACACCACCAACTTTAAAAAGAATTTTGTGTAATAACAAATCCAAACTATTGCCAAATAGAAAGCCGGGTGTGTATAAACTTACGTGTTCATGCGGTGGCGTTTATATTGGAGAAACAAAAAAGAAAATTATACAAAGAAGTATTGAGCATCAGATAAACAGTATGAAAGGTAATTGACATGCTTCCGGAGCCACAGAACACTGCAAGAACTGCCACGGTATATTTAATTGGATGCACCCAAAAACGATCGCATTCAAGTCTAACTACCATGAAAGGAAAATAAGAGAGTCACTTGAAATTAGTTATGCCCAAACAAATTACGAAATAAGACACTTCCCACCGCTTTTGAACAAAGACAACGGTGTTAAAATTGCGTCAAATAGCTGGCGACCTCTTTTTAAAAAAATCATAGAAATTTCAAAATAGTTGTTTACGTCAGCTCATCTTTGTAATGTCTTCTATAACGGTTTTTTACATACGTTTTTTTTTGTGAGATTTTTATTGTATTTAATTTTACGTCTTATGACGGTCTGAACTATTCAGACTGAAATATTACATAAATAAATTAAAATATTAGTACTTAGCTGTATTGTATGTTTATTTAATATATAAAACGTAAAATACAGGTAAGTACTAATTTTTAATTTGTTTATGTAATATTTCAGACTGATAAGATCGGATCTTCGTCAGACATAAAATAAAATACAAAAAGAATTTCACAAAAAACGTTTGTAAAAATCCGTTTAAAAGACTTAACAAAGATTTACAGAACACTGCAAGAACTGCCACGGTATAACTAATTGAATGCACCCCAAAACGATCGCACTTAGTTTTAACTATCACAAAAGATAAATAAGAAAGTCACTTGAAATTAATTATGCCCAAACGAATTACGAGATAAGACACTTCCCACCGCTTTTGAACTAGGACATTGGTGTTAAAATTGCGTAAAATAGCTGGCGACTTCTTTTTAAAAAAATCATAGAAATTTCAAAATAGTTTTTCACGTTACGTCTGCTCATCTTTGTAATGTCTTCTGAGATTCTTTTACTTCGAGATATTTTTGCACGCGCATATTTCAACCAAAATGGATTTTTAAAATTATATTGCTTAGATTTAGTAAAAATTCATTTGGTTTTAGAATTGTTATCAATTTTTTGACATTCCAGTAAAAATTTGAAAAAATTGGACTTTTTATTCAAAAGTTATCTCAAGTTATGCGCTTGTCTGGTTACTTTTGCACGCTATTATATATTATATGCTGATAATGCCGGCGCATCAAATAAGTTATTTATTATTAAGAGAACTCGTATTATCTAATGTTTTAAAGTAGTATATATATATATACTCTCGTACATGTGTACGAGATATATATACATACATATATTATATATATGTATGTATGCATGCACTGCAGTCCCTAAGGTTGGCGGCGCCCTGGACAAACATAGTTGTCCAGGGCACCGTATTAAAGTTGTCCAGGGCACCGTATTAAAGTATTTTTTAGCCATAAATACTTTAATACTTTCACCACCTACCAATCTATAGTAAATTCATCCATTCGAATCAAGAATTGTGATAAGCTAAGAAAATAAAATAGTTTATTTTCTTAGCTTATCACAATTCTTGAATCAATGTAAACAATGTAATTCCTAAAACTAAAATACTAACAAATAGGTAAATTTGTAACAGTGTTTTCTATATTTTTCTAAGGAAAACTGTTTAATAATTTTTCCAAGGTTAAGCTTTTACGCCACTTCATTTTTAATGGAGAGTATTGCAAGCAACATCAATCTTTTTTAAACCATCGATGTACCTAGGCTGGTTGTAACATTTACTGCTGCAGCAGTAAATCTAAAAGGTTCTTCGCAGTTCTTTGCCGGTTTTTTAAAGAACCTAAAGGTTCTTGGAAAAAATTTAAAGTTCCTTAAAGAACCTACGGGTTCTTACTATTCTCTAATGGTTCTCTGAAGAACCGGCGGCTTATTTACAAAGCAATACAAAGAACCCATAAGGTTCTTCAAACCATTTTACGGAAAACCTCGAAGAACATGAATTTAGGGTTCTTTAAATCTTTTGTAAACGCCATTTAATTTTTCTAGTCAGTCGTTATATAGGTAGACCAGTATGAATTAAAAAGAACGGTATAATAACAATAAAAAATGAATATCATTACAGTATTTAATTTGTGGTTTAAACATTTGAGTTGTTTTATTACCGTTATTAACACCAATAGCGATTATTAAAGCGTGTTTTGTTTTGTTTTGTTTTTTGTTTTTTTTCGATCAGTTTTCTTATTCCTTTATGCTTTTATCATGCATATTATGAATAAATATATCATTGTATATTGCAAATGGTTTTATTTAGATTAATAAATACATCATTTGTTAAAACTTAAAAAATGGCAGATTGTTTGAACTGTATATGAAATGTATAAGATATATATATATATATATATATATATATATATATATATACCGGTTTTTACATCCAATTAAAACAAACATTACAACCATTTAAAACAACCATGACATTCATTTAAAACATCGTGACAATCAATTGAAACAACTTTATCTTCAATTAAAACAATCGTGATTTTCAATTCAAACATTTAACGCATGCGCAATCTCAA